CTGCGTGGGCTTGACCTGGGGCCATGTGTGGGGTACCTTGCCCAGTGCCAGGGTGGTCAGTGTTATGGGTGAAGTTAAGCAACTGAGCATGACACTGGTAGGTAGGCATTTTAGGAAACCTGAAACAAGTTCATTGAGGTGTTTTTACTATAAAAGAATTGGGGAAAATACTAAATAAAAGCAGTATGCATGCCCCGTCATGAATGTTTCAGGTTTCTGGTTTGGGAAGGAAGTGGAGTGTGAAATGCTCGCTTGCACAGGACTGAGGGGTCTCACCGTTGTCCCACTGGTCCATGTCAATAGCCGCACCTCACAGATTTCGCATAGTTAAATTAAAACTGAGAATCCCAAGTCAGGTTTGGAAACTGCTTGTGTTCAACTCCACTGCACTGTGGGTTTAGAGGAAATTGCAGTATTTGTCACAGACGTGTTTTCTGGACGCCTCCTTTCTTTGCCCTTTTCAAGTCTTTGTGTTCCTTTGTTTTCATCTGTGGAATCTGAGTTTTATTTAAAATTCCAGATGGTTGGCTGTTCTCAGTTGAGTGTTTATTCTTTTTCTTTTTCTTTTTTTTTTTTTTTTGAAATTGCTTTTCTCACATCAGTGCCATATTTTGCTTTTTTAACTGTTATTGTTTTATATATATAAATGGTTTCACACTCTCTATTGTATAAATGTTGTTCCTAATTGCAGAGGATGTATAGTAAACCTCAGAGTTTGTCTGTTCAGCCTGATTTCTTGCAGTGCAGTCAGGTCTTCTTTAAAGCTTTGTCTTCATTTTCTTTAGGTGAATGCCTGCTTATTTTAGGGTCTCTATGATTTTTTTTTTTTTTTTTTTAAATCTCAGCTATCCCTGGTCACAGGGAGATTTCTAAAAAGAATTTTTGAAGGATGATTTTAGCTCTGTAGACTAAAGTTCAGCTAAAAACTTGAAAGTAAATGTAATTGTCACTCCAGATACCATTAAGCATTTTTTTTTTAGTCTGTTTTATGTTTTAAAAGAAATGGAAAGCATCTAACTACAGAGAAAGTAAAGAGCATTTCTCTGGGTCTCTAGAGATGGCATTTCCTGTCTCTTTTCTGATAGGAAAAAAGAGTTGTGATGACTTCACTCCGTGGCTCCGAAAGAAGCACTTATTATCTTTGTCCCGAGAACAATCCCTCCTTTTTTTAGAGCTCGGAGGCACACTTTTTAGACACATACTTGCTCACTGTCCAGAGAAGAAATGTTCTGCTGTTGTTTGTTAATAAACAACAAATATATCTAGCAAGCTGGTTTATTTGTTTAACTTTGTAACTGTTAAAGTAGCTTTTCCCTTTAAAGGAGGGAAGAGAGAGCTGATTACAAATGACCCCTGCTATCCAGGTCACAGTATGCACAGGATGGTAAAGGGGGCTTTTGTTCCATCCCATAGTTCCCTAAGGGATCACGCAGCGCAGAAAGTTTTTTGCATGTCGAATAAATTATGGAAGGCTATGTACTGTGAAAAAAAGACTGGAAGGAAAGTCACTGTCACCTAGGTCTCTTCTTAAACTGCATGAAATGATAGGGTTGTAATTGCAGCTTCAGGTAATTGTTCAATAATGGGGGTGAGGCATGTGACTGAGTCTTCATGGAAGAAAGCTTCCCAGTAAAGTCAAGCTACACCCCATGCTTTAAAAATAAATGCATGTTTATTAAGCATTTAAATTAAGGAGTGGCTAGAGAATTTACTTAGGGGTTTTCAATCAAAATCATTCCTAGTGCTTCTAAAATATTCCTTTTTTTCCACCTTTTATAATAAAGCCGAAGCAACCTGTCCTGTGCCGTGTCTGTCATTGTCTGCATGTACTTCTGTATACATTTCCTCTCTCCACCCACATTACTGCCCTAGGCTGGAAGGGAGCTTTCGGTTTTTGCTAAAATGTTTATTTTAAGAGTTGCTGTAGAGGACAGAGCATACACCTTCAGCCCAGCTCTGAATCTGGTGCTGGGTTTTCTTTTTCTTTTTGTGGCTGTCATTGAATCTCAAAGTAAAAGTTTTGGGAATGGTAGTATCCCTTCAGCAAACTGCAGAACACTGTGGTCCTGTCTGGGAAATGGGGATAGTTCTTTCGACAGTTAGAGAAGCCACCAGACAAGGGGCTTTCAGGACCAAAAGTGCCTCACCAAAAGGGCAGTTTAACCCAGGTGGTTTGAAATGGGCCCTTTTGTCTGTCCTGGGGATTCTCCCCAGCCTGTTCTTCTGCCCCTCTCTCTGTCTCTCTGTCTCTCTTTCCCTGAGGACCTCCCGACCTCCTTCACTCCATTCTTTTTTCAAATGATTTATGCGGCTTTCAGAAAACCTGCTTGCGTTTTATAGACTTCCTCCAGGGCTCAGTTTTCCTAACCCTCCCTCAGCTCTCTTGCTTCATTCTTCCACAGCCTTGATCCTCTCTAGCTTTTTATTCCTAGCCTTAGACTCTCTCTCTTTTTTGTTTTATCCCTGTGTCCTTTATGAGAGTTGAAAAACAAAGCCCCAGGGGGCCCCCCTTGGGTTGTAAGAGAGCAAAAAATGGCTGGATGGACAGAACCGACTGCAAAGAGGTGCTTAAAAGAGTGAAACGTGACCTCAAAAGAGAGACAGAAAAACATTCCCTTATAAAGGAGCACTGTTCTTAAAAAAAAAAAAAAAAAAAAGCCACCTGATTTTCTCTCCTCCCGAGCCTTCGCCAGTAGTCAGCTGTCTCCTGTGACTCGCTAAGCCCTTGGTTTAGGGGGACATGGCTCCTGCCGTTCTTGCACGTTACCATAGCGCACTCCTACCCCCGTGCTCAATGACCTGTCAGTCAGAAAACAGACAGCACATTCAAACCGGCAATTGCAGGAAGGTCGTTTATTTATTTATTTATTTATTAACGAATATTCATGAGATACAAAGCTGATTGTCGCCCAATGTGCCCATGACGTGGGGGCCAGATTCATACTGGTGGCATACCCATTACCAGAAATTACTTTTGTACCCTTTGTCCCCTCCCAATTATCCCCCCGGGAAGGTCGTTTATTAAAAGGAGAGTTTACAACCTTGTGGATAGGGTTCAGGAGCAGCATTGAGGGACGGCCTGGACCCTGGGGCTAGTCACAGGGGGGACCTGCTGCAGCCCCTAGAACTCAAAGGGCAAGGGCGAGCCTTGCAGGAGCTTCACTGATAAGCTATACTGAGGGGGCTGCCTGACCTGAGCTGTGGCCTTTGGTCAGGGGACTCGGCCAGCCCGTATCGTGTCAGGTAGGGGAAGCTACAGGTCCTAATTCCTGCCCGCTGACAGGCCAGATCCTCCCTGTGGCAAATCTCTCCAGAACCACGTGTTCATGCAGGTCTGGGGACGCAGAGCAGGGTGGAGAATAGATCTAGGAAATTCCCAGGACGTTGACTGAGTTAGTGATGTTGCCGTGGAAGGATATGAAAGGATTTAGGGAACTGGTGATTTTAAGCCCCTGAATTAAAAAAGACACTTTTTTTCTTTTTTTAGGTACTTCTGTATGTTTCTCATTTCTTTCTTTGGAATCTTTGTCTTCCTTAGTGATCTCACCCAGTCTCCTGGCTTTAACTACCCACTTTAGTGCTCACCCTGCCCTGAACTCAGACGCATCCATACATCCAAGTACATATCAGACCCTGCATGTGGGAGTCTCATAGAAATATCAACCTTAGCATGTCTAAAACTACATGTCTGATCTTCCCTTCTCAGTCCCGCTTCTCTTGGCGTCTTCCTTTCCTTCTAATGCTCCGACCAGCAACCTCAGAGTCACCGTGGACGTCTCCCTACCTCATCTGTCATCCTTCCCTCAGAAAATCCTGGCGGTTTGACTGGTCTAATGATATCCAGAATCTGACCTCCTCTCACCACGTGTACTGCTACCATCTGGTCCACAGTCACCGTCATCTCCAGGGTTATTACAATTGTCTCCTATCTGGAATCTTCTTTTCACAACTCAGAATCAGCTGCTGGCTCCAGCTCATTCAGACAAAAAAGCGTACAAGACCCTACACAATCTCCCCCTCTCTTCTCTGACCCCTCCCCTAATATCTTCCTTTAGGCTCACACTGAGCTAGTTCCCTGGTGTCCTTGCTGGTTAACACCAGAAGTGTGCCTGCCTCAGGGCCTTTGCAGATAGGAAGGAGGTAAATTTAATATTTACATTTGAAAACATCTATGTAATGAAAACATCCATCCACACAAAACTTTTACACAAATGTTTGTAGCAGCATTATTCATAATAACCCAAACCTGGGAGCGATCCAAATGTCCCATCAACTGACAAATGGATAAATAAAACATGGTATAAGCACACCATGGTGTAATCATTTGGCAATAAAAAGGAATGAAGTACTGATGAAAGTAACAACACGGATGAACCTTGAGAACATCATACTGAGTGGACATTATGAAAACGTGCCAATCACAAACATCCTCCTACTGTGTGAGTCCATTCACATGAAACACCTAGAACAGGCAAACCCAGAGAAAAAGGAAGTAAAATGGTGGTTACCTGGGGCTTGGAGGTTGGGGAGATTGGAGGGTGCCCATTAAGAGGTACAGGGCTTCTTTGGGGTAATGAAAATGTGCTAAGATTGGTTGTAGTGGTGGTAGCATAGTTTTGTGACTCTACTAAAAGCCAGTGAATTGTACAATTTAAAACAGTGAATCATGTAGTATGTGAATTATATCTCAAAGCAGTTAAAAAGATGATGGAAGTGATTGCTATCTCAATAAAACATTCCTGTCGTTTTTACAGGTAGTATATGTATATATATATGTCTTCCTTTGAATTCAAAATTATTGTAGCTAGAGTTTTAAAGGGAATAAAGGGAACTCTGGGTTTGTTTGTTTGTTTTTCATTTCCCCTTTGTTTTTTAACTGAAATTTCTTTGGACTGCACATATTGGATGTTCCATATTTAAATGTTATTTAATTGGGTGAGTTTTTTTGTGTTCATATGAGAAAGAAGGGGTCTTAATCGCTGGTGTTTTCCCCTTTCCAGAACTTTCATGATGGACGTAAAGCACAGCAGCACATAGAAACTTGCTGGAAGCAACTCGAATCAGTAAGTGAAAAATGAACTACTGAAGAAATGTCTTTATAGATTTCCTAATTTGAATTTAAATTAAGCTTAAATTGATCAGTAAGTAAAAAACATAAAAACAAAAGCACTAAAGAAGCATCATAGATTTTTCTCATTTGAATTTAATTTAATTTGTTTCTACAACCATTATCTAGAGTAAAATGTTGAGCCAAAAGAGCTCAAGTAGAGTGTTTTTCTGAAAATCATATGGAAAGAACAGAGATTAGACAGCTTTGATAAAAACAAATGCAGGTTTTAAAATAACTTCCTGGGGCCGGCCCGTGGCTCACTTGGGAGAGTGTGGTGCTGATAACATCAAGGCCACAGGTTCGGATCCCGTATAGGGATGGCCGGTTTGCTCACTTCGAAGAGCGTGGTGCTGACAACACCAAGTCAAGGGTTAAGATCCCCTTACTGGTCATCTTTTTAAATAAATAAATAAAGTAACTTCCTGAAATTATGACATATAACAAATCAGTTCAGAGAAGAATGTTCATTGGGGGATTTAGATAAAATTATATCTTCTCATTAGGACTCTCATGTTTTCATAAATAATTGCTTAAAAATTTTTTAACATTTCCTTGTACATTTTGTGGAGTGCACATAAATAATTACTTTCCTCTCCTCTGCTTTTAGAGTAAAAGACGATTTGAGAGGGACTGCAAAGAGGCTGACAGGGCACAGCAGTACTTTGAGAAAATGGACGCGGACATCAATGTTACGAAAGCAGATGTGGAAAAGGTAGGGGAAAGTGAACGGCTTTCTTTCATTTCCCTGTAAGTGTCCATCACAGGCTGCCCCTGCAGACATCCTGTCCCCAACTTCCCTTTGTGATGTAGCCACAAAAGGGCATTTGACTGAAGATCGTTTTCTTTTTATGTCAGCCTTTGTGGGGACCAGATGCTAAAATCTGGGGAATCTTCAGTGTTGGGATTTAGGAGTTTATTTGTTTAGTTACCAGAATGATAACATGGAGACTCAGACCGTGAACAGATCGTAGGAGGGTGGTTTCAGGAGGCTGTGGCTCTTTCTTAATGGCTTTTCAAAGAGAAAGTCAATTTCTTGAGAGCCGGAACAGACGGTTCAGCGCCATCTGGAAGAGCTTGGCTGCTTATAATGGTTCCCTTAAAAAGATGAAGAGTCTCATATGGCTTGCCTAACTTCTGATTGATTCATTCAGGTTGGTAACAGCGAGGCTGTCGTGGAAGGCTTGCATTTCTAAGCCCTCTCAATAGCTCTTCTCCAAATGGACTTGTATTGGCAATTAGGAATATTGTAAAGCTGGTACTGTATCTCCCTGTGGCTCAATATGTGTTTTTTCCCTAGAAGCTGAATTTTCTTTTTATAAAAGTCAACAATATAGAGTAAACAGAATTAGGCTGTTACATAAAAGTATTCATTCATCACTGCCCAGGGCTGTTTGGATATTCACAGCCTCATGCTTTCACACAGGGCAAAGCCCTGTGTTTTCATAGATTCCTTTCCCTTTTGCCAGATTAGTTGGAGATTAGTTTAGCTGGGACACAGTGTGAATCAGTATTTGCCCAAATCTGCCAAATTCCTCGACTAAAGACTAGCTATATATTAGTATGCCTTTCTCTAAAATTATTTAATATATTAAAATACTCAAGATCTGTATTTGTTCTGAAGTGGGGATATTTACTTTACCAAAAGACATATTAATTTGCTGATAAAGTAACCAACACTACCATAAATTCACCATAAGTTCCCGTTAGCCAACTTCCCAAAGTATTTAAAACATCATTCAATTAAAATAAGTTAGATTGATCCAAAGTTTATTTTTAAAAACATTTTAGTTTAAATGAGGTGAAAACAGTATATCTGTCATATAGATATGGCACAAGTATATGTATTTTTCTTCAAATATTTTATGATCCTAAATGTAAAATTGGAGTGCTTTGTGTGTGGATCTGAACCCATGACCTTGGAGTTATAAGGCTGTGCTCTAACCAGCTGAGCTAACCAGCCAGCACTGGAGTGCTTTTTATTCATTTAACGATTTTTTTAAAAAAGAAATTACTTTTATGGACTTTTCTTATTATAAAAACTATTTATGCTCATTGTAGAAATATCTGAAAGTACAAACAGCCGAAGGGAGAAAAGACATTTAAAAATCCAACTTTTACACCAGCCAACCCCCCAAAAAAAATAATTCCAACTATTGTTAATGCCTTGGTATTTACCTTTCGGAGACTTTTCTTTAAAACAAAATGCATACTATAGATGTACAGTGTAAAGAATAATAACAAAAGGAGCACCTGTTTATCTACAACCTGTCCTAAGGAGTGGAACCTTAGTGGTGCCTTGGAAGGCCCCGTCGCTGACTTTGTCCCTTCTCCTTATCCCCACCCCACAGGTAAACTTTATCCTGAAATGGCCATTAATAATTCCCTTGCTGTTCTTATAGCTTGTGTATGTATTGCCAAAAGTAAATTTTATAGTTTTTTCTCTTTTTTACCTTTATATAAACAAAATCATACTTTTGTTCATTTCCTTCTGACTTTTTTTTTTTAATTCAACTCTATGTTTTTGAGACTTAATTCATGTGGAGTATAGGACACATGACTTTTTTGTATTAATATTAGAGCCAGGTGCCTTCCTCAACTCTCTTTTTATTTCTATTTAGTTTTTTCTGTGGAGACAGTCATATTGGCACATACCAGCAGGTAATCGTTTTATTTCTTCTTTTCCCATCATTATGCCTTTTAGTTGTTTTTCTTATCTTACTCTGCTGGCTGTGACCTCCACTGTGCTGAGCAGAAAGAGTCCTTGTAGACATCCTTATCTTGTTCTTGATGACAAAGAGAGTGCTTCAAATGTCTCTCCATTTTATGTGAATGGTTTTAATATACCCTTTATTGGATTAAAGGATTTTCCTTCTTTTCCTATTTTTTCTTTTTCCTTTTTTTGTCTTTTTCCGTGTCCGGAAACGGATCGCAACCCTCGGTGCTGCCCCTGCGCCTCGCTCAGCCAGTGAGCGGGAACCGGTCTGCACGTGGGATCCGAACCCTCGGCGGGAGCGCCGCCATGCTTCTCAAGCGGTGCACTATAGCAGTGCGCCACCGGGCCGGCCCGTTTTCCTATTTTTTCCAAGAGAATTTTTTTAAAAGCTTGACTTGCTATCGAATATCATTAAATATTTTTTCTGCTTCCTTTAATTCATTAATGTGGCACATGACATTAATCAATTTTCTTACACTGAACCAAGTTAGCATTCCTGGGACAAACTCAACTAGATTATGATGTAATATTTTTTATACGTAGTTAAATTTTTTTGTTAATATTTTACTTAAGATTTTTCATTAAAATGGTCTATATTCATTGAAATTTGTCTGTAACTTTCCTTGTCTGTTCTACTGTGCTTTACTTAGGAGTTTTAGAGTGTTTGCTCTTTTTTTTGAAACAATATGTGTAAGATGAAATTAACTATCCCTTAAATATTTTATAATACTTCTTTGTGGGAAAGTTTCATTTTTTAACATATATAAACATTTTATTTTAATAATACCCTTTATCTCTCCAATTTAAATCATTCAATTATAAAAATTTCTTAATTGAAGAGAGAATGCCTTCAAAACTCTAAATTAAGCAGAACTTTAACAATTAAATTTACAGCAATGCAGCCTTTAGAAATACATAGATTCTTCATTTTAAAATACTTTGTCTGTAAAAATTTGGCATGGTTTGTCACAGATTTAAAATACAAGGCACCTAGTGCGATGATACTATAGTATATGTAGTATAAGTGAACCAGATCTTTTCTCAAATATTTATTCAAGTCCCACCAAATTTGTATCAACATACTTGTTCCATATATTACACATTTTTTCTCTGGTTATTTTGCAGTGTTCTACAAAACTTAAAAATATAATCAGCACCTATTGCAGGAAGCTTATTTCAGTATTTTACCTGTCAGAAGTGCTGATCTATATACTTAAATAATTTCTTGAAGACATTTTCATAATATCATCCAGCTTTTAACAAATATGTGAAAATAAAGTCTCTAGAACATTAGGATTTTATTCCTTGATAAGTTCAGATGATTTCATCAGCTGAATTCCTTGAGATGTGTAAGGCAGTTTGATCCTTTAGATGGACTGTGGACTGGAACTTCCTATAACTATACTGATATTCACACAACTACATAGCAACATGCTTCATTATGAAAATGAAGAAAACAGATATAGGGAACATATATTTTAAAGTTTCAAACTGAAACTGTAGTTTTCCAGACTAGGCACTGAAACATTTTTTTTACGAAAAACTTGCCAGAGATTGTCTCTTCACTGTATATCTTTCATTATCAAACGGGGCTACAGACAACAGCTACCTAGCTCCATCCTCTTGAGAAACTCTGTGCATAGGAATGAGACTCTCAGACTGTTCACTGTCTTCTGGAACTCTCTGAAGTCGATGTTTCCTGCACATAAAGGCAAAAATTCTTCTGATTCCCATCATCACAGGATCCCAATTATTTTAATGGCATAGGAGAGTTACAATAAAAAATGAAAAAAATACAGTGTGCCAATCGATGATGAGGTAAGAGAGCAGCTCTACAACCACAACTCTGAGAGGACTGTTCCAATAAGGCCATTAATGATAATGGCCATTAATACTACTTTATTTGGAAACCCGAAGTTCACAAATCCAGTGTCATGATGTAAAAAGAAACCTGGCCATAAGAGCAGCAGATTAAACAGAACTACAAAACCAAAGAATATTGGAATATCCAACTTTTCTCTGTCTATTTTTCTCTTAATCGTAACAATATAGACAAGAGCTCCAAAGAGAGACCAAATGGAATCTATTGTATCTTTTCCAGCAGATTTTTCAGACCCTGACAGGTTTACCAGCACGACACCTCCAATGCTTGAAGTGACAGCCACTAGTTTAGAAAGGGTAACTCTATCTCTGCTGTTACTTAGAAACACTGCAGCAAGGAATAAAGTAAACAGTCCAGAGGCTGAAGACAAAATATTAATATGCCCCCCATTAATTCCTAGTATCATTTATACTTTGTTTTTTCATTTTTTCTGGATCAGTTTTTTGGTTATTTTTGGTGTTTTTTTTTTTTAAAAAGATGACCGGTAAGGGGATCTTAACCTTTGACTTGGTGTTGTCAGCACCACGCTCACCCAGTGAGCAAACCGGCCATCCCTATATGGGATCCGAACCCGTGGCCTTGATGTTATCAGCATCACACTCTCCCAAGTGGCCACAGGCCGGCCCTGGATCAGTTTTTTTAAAGTCGTTTTTATTAGTATTTTCTAGGAACCTGAGAGCCAAAATTTATCTCTGTGGAGCCTCTCTTTTCTGTTTTTATTTATTCCTCCTCCTCCTTCCCCATCTCCCCCTGCAGCCTTCCCCCGCCTCCCTATCCTCAATTACTTGAATATTTTCAAAGATGCAGTGTTTTTTCTTATACTAGGAGCATCATTTTGTTGATTTTACAATACTACCATTTATCTCCTCCCCAAGGATATGATAAATAACCTGATTTGGGCATCACAAATATTAAAGCTGAAAGAGCAGTGTCTAAACATTGAAATTCTTAAGTTATTTTCCTTCAAATGTGACTTGAAACACTATAATTTCCCAAAACATGCAGTAGTTTGACTGTTATGTCTGTTTTCTACTTTCTTGCTATGAAGCCCTATGTCAATGTCATGCTCAATGGAGGCTGTGTTTCAGTTCTTATCGCTATTTAATCTAATTTCCCA